CAATGAGGATTTCATTACCAGTGTTGCCAGATCTCACAATGTCAACATGAGTTTAGTGATACTCGGCCTTTTGTCTTAAAGCTCCAGCTCTTGGAGTCAAGTGACTCTGACAAACTTGGATTTCTTTTTTTTTTTTTTTTTAAGTAAGTTTCTAGGCCTTGTGGTTAAGGAAATAAAAAATATGTTCTGAGTGCACCTCAAAGGCTCAGAAACCAAGAAGCAAAAAAAAAAAATCCAAAATTAGTCTTTAAAAAAATCACGATTTTCTGGATGTCTGATGCATGATTTTTGAACACTTGGGGTTTGCCAATACTAGGTTCTTGTTTGGGCCTGCTATATGGAGGCATGAAAGTTTCAGTTCTGATCCAAACTTCATCACAGTGTGAACGGTTTGGGTCTGGTTATTTTTTTTTAGACCCAGGAGACATCTGACAATGTAATAATTTGGTATAATGGGGAATCTTCAGTCCCATCTAGTGAAAAGTTAAATTTAAAACTCTGCATGTGGGGTGGGGAGGAGTGGGGTAGAGAAGGGAGCTTGCAAAGGGCTTGGGAAGTGACTAGGTGAGGGGAGACCAGCTTGTCCTCTGTATGCATTTGTATTTCTCTGTGTGTGCTTCTTTCATTCATTATCCAGAAAACTGTGATCATTAACCCTTCAGTTCAGGGCTCCTTAATCCCCCTGGGAAACCGGATACTTCTTCCTTACAAATGGGTCTGAGCTCTAGCCTGTCTCTGTCACAAGGTAAACCTTTTCCTGCCCCCTCCTTCAGAGACTGAAGCCCACATTGTAGGATTAAAGTAACACTCCTGTTGACTATCCTTGACCCCTTTCTACTGAGATTCCCAAGGCTGGATAGAGCCAGCCGCTTCTTACCCTCAGGTTGGAGGGACACAGGGCAGGATGAGATCTTCAAGGGGTGGCCTGTGAAATTTCCCCAGCCTTCTAGAGCAGTGGTCTCCAAACTTTTTTGATCACACACCTCTATCAGTAGGGTTACCATACGTCTGGATTTTCCCGGACATGTCCGGCTTTTTGGGCCTCAAATCCCCGTCCGGGAGGAAATCCCCAAAAGCCGGACATGTCCGGGAAAATAGGGAGGGAGGGGCTGGAGGTGCTCGGCTGGGGGCCGGGGATGCGGGGCCGGGGATGCGGGGCCGGCGGTGCTGGGCTGGGGCCGGCGGTACTGGGCCGCCAGGGGCTGGGGGCCAGCGGTGCTGGGCCGCCGGAGGCTGTGGGACGGCGGTGCTGGGCCGCCAGGGCCAGGGGGGTCGGGGCCGGCGCCCCAGGGCCCTAGCCGAGCCGGGCGGGAGACGCCGGGACCAGAGCCTCTTGGCCTGGGCCGGACGGCCGCTGGAAGGAGCCGCTCGGCCGGGGGGGGCGGACTGGGCCGCGCCTACTCGTGCCCCCCAGCCCCAGCTTACCAGCTGCCTGCCTGCTTCAGGCTTCCCGCGAATCAAATGTTCGCGGGAAGCAGGGGAGGGCGAGGGGCAGGGGGGTGAAGTGTTCAGGGGAGGGGGCGGAGTTGGGGCGGGGCCAGGAAGGGGCAGGGCTGGGGCGGAATTGGGGCGGGGCCAGGGCCCCGTGGAGTGTCCTCTTTTTGGACACTTAAAATATGGTAACCCTACCTATCAGTAAAAAATTTTTGAGCATGCACCCCCTGCCGCGCCGGCTCTACCATTTTTGCCAGAGCAAAAAAAAAAAAGCCGCGTTCCCCCGAAGATCCTCTTGCGCACCCCCTGCAGAGCATGCACCCCACTTTGGAGACCACTGCTCTAGAGAGGTGGAGGGGCTGCACTATGACTCATTCCTCACACTCTCCCTGCAGCTCCCAATGAGTGCAGCAGTTCTGCTTTGGGAAGAATGCTGGTTTGGCAGCCATTCATGCTTGGGGCTGGTGGGGCTTTCACTTACTACTGGCTAACTCACTGAGCATATTTCCCCTTTTGCTTATTTCTCAGAATGTTTCTTATCATGTTTGCTAATTACTGAATGTAGATGTTGCCATAAGACCTAAGACCATTGGTTCATCTTGGCCAGCATCCCACCGCCTGGTGTACTGGATCAGATTGATGGTCCTCCTCGTCTTGAATCAGCAGTGAGCTACCGTATGTGAAAACAGCAATAGCAGTTGGCAGACTGGGCCTGCAGCATCCCCCCACCAGTTCAAAAATCCTGAGATCAGCTTAAAAATTATGAGATGTTTTAAAATAATACATTTGGGGTTCTTTTTCTTTGCCTCCTGGCTTTTGAATCTTTAGGGGACACTTGGGTCATGTTTTAAACTCTTCCCTGCAACCATGAGGGCTAGAAACTTGCTGTTTTAAAATCAAATACTGGGAATTTCACATCATCATGTGCCTTGCAGAGCTGGGGCTAGAGAAAAGAACCAAATATTGTAAGACAGATGATAAAATTGTGGGAGTTGGCTGCACTCTCTTGGCAAGGCTCTATGAAGTTCAGGAGATTGATCTCATCATGGGATCCTACCACAGATGAAACCCAGGGCACTGTGCGGATGCAGGTTCTTAGTCAACCCAAACAAATCTGATGAAATAATCAAGAACCTGGGGTGTGGGTAAAACCAGCCAAGGACATTCTTCTCCTACAATTGTTCCATTTTATTTTGAGCTTGTTTTATTTTAAGTAGTCATGGGATAAGAGGGAAGATCCTTTCATGGACTGAGAACTGGTTAAAAGACAGGGAACAAAGGGAAGGAATAAATGGTAAATTTTCAGAATGGAGAGGGTAACTAGTGGTGTTCCCCAAGGGTCAGTCCTAGGACCAATCCTATTCAACTTATTCATAAATGATCTGGAGAACAGGGTAAACAGTGAGATGGCAAAGTTTGCAGATGACAATAAACTGCTCAAGATAGTTAAGACCAAAGCAGTCTGTGAAGAACTTCAAAAAGATCTCACAAAACTAAGTGATTGGGCAACAAAATAGCAAATGAAATGTAATGTGGATAAATGTAAAGTAATGCACATTGGAAAAAATAACCCCAACTATACATACAATATGATGGGGGCTAATTTAGCTATAACTAATCAGGAAAGAGATCTTGGAGTCATCATGGATAGTTCTCTGAAGACGTCCACGTAGTGTGCAGTGGCAGTCAAAAAAGCAAACAGGATGTTAGGAATCATTCAAAAAGAGATAGAGAATAAGACGGAGAATATCTTATTGCCCTTATATAAATCAATGGTACACCCACATCTTGAATACTGCATACAGATGTGGTCTCCTCATCTCAAAAAAGATATATTGGCATTAGAAAAGGTTCAGAGAAGGGCAACTAAAATGATTAGGGGTTTGGAACGGGTCCCATATGAGGAAAGATTAAAGAGGCTAGGACTTTTCAGCTTGGAAAAGAGGAGACTAAGTGGGGATATGACAGAGGTATATAAAATCATGAGTGGTGTGGAGAAAGTGAACAAGGAAAAGTTATTTACTTGTTCCCATAATATAAGAACTAGGGGCCACCAAATGAAATTAAAGGATTTAACATCCATGAAGTTCTTCTTCACACAGTGCACAGTCAACCTGTGGAACTCCTTGCCTGAGGAGGTTATGAAGGCTAGGACTATAACAGGGTTTAAAAGAGAATTAGATAAATTCATGGAGGTTAAGTCCATTAATGGCTATTAGCCAGGATGGTAAGGAATGGAGTCCCTAGCCTCTGTTTGTCAGAAGATGGAGATGGATAGCAGGAGAGAGATCAATTGATCATTACCTGTTAGGTTCACTCCCTCTGGGACACCTGGCACTGGTCACTGTCAGTAGGCAGGATACTGGGCTGGATGGACCTTTGGTCTGACCCAGTATGGCTGTTCTGATGTTCTTATGAGCTTGTTTGATGGCATGTGCTTTACTGGCTCAGTTTCCCGTAGCTGGTATAAACCCAGGCTGCACAATTTCAGTGCTCCATAACTTCCACAATTCCCTTCAGCAATAGGGAAAAGATGTTTATATTAACATTTGGGTCTTTAGCTCCCACACAGCACGAGATACAGTTTAGCTCCAAGTCCAGGGGTAGGCAACCTATGGCACACGTGCCGCCTTTGGCACGCGAGCTGATTTTCAGTGGCACTCACACTGCCCAGGTCCTGGCCACTGGTCCGGGGGGCTCTGCATTTTAATTTCATTTTAAATGAAGCTTCTTAAACATTTTAAAAACCTTATTTACTTTACATACAACAATAGTTTAGTTATATATTATAGACTTATAGAAAGAGACCTTCTAAAAACATTAAAATGTATTACTGGCACGCGAAACCTTAAATTAGAGTGAATAAATGAAGACTCGGCACACCACTTCTGAAAGGTTGCCGACCCCTGTTCTAGTCCATTAATTGTGCCTCTGGAGCTTTGGGGAGTTGAAGAGGGGGTTTTCCCTTTTATTTCCAAGTGAAGAGACACTATTTGTATAGTGATCCCTGAAATAAAGGGATGTAGTTGCTGGCTTTTTTGCTCCCAAGCTACCTGGACTACTGATAGCTAAGGTCTCTAATGACTGTCAATGCAGTCTCTTAGCCTCTTTCACTGACACACTTTCAAACAAAGCAACTATCTGTTTTAAATGTGGGTAACAGTCTAGAAATTGAAACAGTTTGGGAGTCACTTATTCCAAAGCATAACTGACCCTTTCTCATCTCTTTCCCTCTGCTGCCACCATGTGGTCTCATGTCAATGCAGTAAGAGTTGATGATTTCCCAGTTCTTGTTATTCTTTTATTGAGCTCTGTCTCTGTCGTGGTGGTGTTGTTTTTCTTTTTTTGTACAGGGGAGGGAATTCAAAGAGTAGCACCAATGCATAACAAGCACATGACTTACCTATCAGGGTGGAAAGGTGCTAAGCTTGAGGGTTGCTATTGGCTCCAGAAAGCCATGTTGATCCTGAAGAATTAAATTCTAGGTCAGAGAGAAGTGGGTGCAATTGTGGTTTTTAACGTTTGTTTGTTTGTTTGTTTGTTTGTTTGTTTTTTCTTGGTTGCAGAATCTGGGAGTCTCCACTTCTCCAGGCTGCCAAGGAGAATGATCTCCGGGCCATCAAGAAACTGATCTCTGATGGCACCTGCGATGTCTATCAAAGAGGTAAATTGTCCCCTACTTTCCTGCTCCCTACCCATGACAGACATGCAGGGCCTGCCAGTGTGAGTCTGTGGTTATTTGTCCTTAGTTTCTTCCTGGGGAGGCCAAGACACTACTGCAGTGTAGGTGTGCACCACTACCTTCCCGTACATGGTATCAGAACTGCCTGACTGTGTATCCTTAGCCCTTTTACTGCTAACAGCTGAAGGAGAGTGGCCAAGGCCTGGGCTTTTGGAGCAGGAGGAAAGGAGGAACCCAATGGCCTAAGTACTGCAGCAAAGTAAAATTCCTAGTTCAGTACCAATTATTCTATCAAAGAACTATTCAGCTCCTAGATTAATTGTGAAACTTAGAGGTGGAAAAGACTTATTGGGTAATAGTTTGTCTAGACCTCTAGTCTCCCTTGCCATACCCAGCCTGCTGTAGAACTGTTCCCTGAAATAAATATCTCCAGCCGTGCTTCCTTCATCACCTTTGAGAAACTCTCTTCCACACTGGAATATTATTGTATTACAATAGTGCCTAGAGTCCACAACTGAAATCAGAGGCCCATTGTGTTAGTCGCTGCACCGATACAGTAAGAAGTAGTCCTTGCCCCAAACAACTTACAAGACAAGAAGGACAAAGGATGGGATGGAAAACAGAAGCATGGAGAGGGAAAGTCAAGGTCACACAGCAGGCCAGTGGCAGTCAAAAATAGAACCCAGGTTTCCTGAGTCACCCTATTCGCTAGACTTCACTCCCACTCAAAAAGCTCCCACTATTAATATGAAATCTCTGCTCAGCTTTGTCTTATACATATGAATGACTAGATGACTTATATGCTTCTCTCACTCTCTCCAGGTGCAGTGGGAGAAACAGCTCTTCATGTGGCTGCCTTGTATGATAATATGGAGGCTGCTCAGGCTCTGATGGAGGCAGCTCCAGAACTCGTTAATGAGAGGATGACATCGGAGCTATATGAAGGTACCATCACCAAGACATGAGACTGAACTGGGATCCCTCTGGAGGGTCAGGAAATAAATATTACCCAGTGAGGACAATTGGTTAGAGATCTCCTACTTTGCTGTATTGCTAAACTACAGCATTGTGAAACATGTCCACAAATGTTTCCTGTTTGCTTGGTGTAACCTTGGGTTGAACTTTGCACAGGAACACTCACGCAGATACACAAAGGACAGGCTCTGATCCCTGTTGGGTCAGCTGGCTGTGCAATGGAATGTGGAAAATAATTATCATGCTATGTATACTAAATTAGATTTTTGATGTTCAATTATCTGGTCCTCCGTGATCCCAGGGTTAACTCCTCCCTCCCCTTGCTCAACTACTAAGGGAAAGGGCTCTACACCAGCGGGGGGCAAACTATGGCCTGCAGGCCACATCTGGCCTGCAGGACCCTTTCTTCTGGCACCTGAGCTCCTGCCAGGGAGCAGGGTCGGGACAGGCTTATGGAGGAGCCAGCCCAACTCCCTGGCAGCGCGGTGAGCGGGGCAGAGGCTAGTCCCTGACCCCTCCCCTTCTGCTCGCCTCCCTCCCTGCCTCCCTCGCAGTCACAGTTCCCCCGCCCCAGCACCTGGGCAGCGTGGCTGCAGCTCTGGCCAGGTGGCACGGCTATAGCGCCGCCAGACCTGGTGCTCCAGGGTGGCGCGGTCAGGGGGCGGGGAGCAGGGGGAGTTCTGGGAGGGGAGTGGTCAAGGGGCCTGCTGCCGGGGGCAGGGGCAGAGCAAGCCAGGGCCCCCCTCCACCCAAAGCATGCTTGGCCCCTGTCCCCAGCAGCCAAGCCCAGACAGGGAGTGAGACCTGCCTGACTTCTAGGAAGAGCAGCCAAACAAGCAGGGGAAACACACAAGGAAAGGACTGAGCCCCCCTTTCCCACACCCCACAGGTAATGTGGGGTGGGGAGAGCAGGAAGGGTTGGACAGGGGGCCCGATGGGGGTGGTCAGGGAGTGGGGAGCAGGGGGGGTTGGGTGGGGGTTCTGGGGGGCTGGATAGGGGGTCGGGCCATGCCTCACTGTTTGGAGAGGCATAGCCTCCCCCAGCCTTCCCTACCCAGCCCTCCATACAATTTCTGTATCCGATGTGGCCCTAGGGCCAAAAAGTTTCCCCATTCCTGCTCTAAACCATCAAGAGATAGGCAGATAGTGAGGGTAAGCATATACAGCTGAAATTTTTTAAAAGATTTGAAAGGTGCTAAAGGGCCAGATTCAAAAATAGGGAAGGAAAGAATAAGTGCAATTGCAGAAACAGGAATGCCAAGTTAGGATTCAAAACAACAATGTTCCTCTCCAAAATAGTTTTTTTTTTTAAAAGAGGGGTTTTTACCCCAATCTCCATCTTGAAAATTAAAGATGGTGTCCCTGTCTAGTCACAGCTTAACCTGCTATTCGTTCCCTGTGAGAGATACCAGAGTCTTCATCTGAGCATTTGGGCTCTTAGTCCACTTGCCAGATGAGCCTGGCATGTCTCTGCCCCACTGAAAGCCATCGTTCAAGCTGCCCACGTGTCTCTTCGGTCTCCACCAGGAAAACATCTCAGATGTGCATATTCTTGGCAAGTGGCAGAACTCTTTCTGGCACATGCCCATTAAACTTCACAACATACACACAATAAACCTGGGCGCAGATTACTGATCTCTGTTTTAATGGCTGGAGGTGGATTTCCCAGAGGATGTGTTTTATTTGGGTGCACATGTGTTGCAGGGCAGACAGCTCTCCATATCGCCGCAGTGAATCAGAACATTAATCTGGTGAAGGCTTTGCTCAAGAAGGGGGCCAATGTCTCCAGCCCACGGGCCACTGGACTCTTCTTCAGGCGCAGCGCCCATAACCTTATCTACTTTGGTACGTCCCTGTCTGCAGCTCCCAGGACAGACTGGGTTTCTTCTGCTCCTCTCTTACTAGAGGATTGGGTGATGGAGGGAGTGTGGGGAAAGCTTGCACTGATGCTGCCCATGCTATACCCACTCTAGATAAATACAGGGCTCAGCTCTCCAGGACTGTCAGTTACACACTTTTTACCAGGCACTCCAATTCATGTTAAACACAAATCATCCTAGCAGCAATTCTCTCACCTTACAACTAGCTAAACGGTGTCCCTTCTAAGAGCCTAGGTCTCCCCTAGCTGTGACCCATTCTGTCATCTTGACATATTTTGTGTGTGTGCGTGTGTCGGGGGGGGTGGGGGAGATGTGTTTCACTCAGTAGTATGACTTTTTTGAGGTATGGGATTTATTGAACTTCTGGGTAACTCTCTTCCCTTCCCAAGCTCAGACTGATCGGCATGCATAGATTCCCATACATGTCTCCATCTGGCTTGTGTGCTTATTTCCTCATGGTCTGAGTCTTATTTTCCCTCTGATTCTTCCTCTTCAGGGGAGCATGTTCTATCATTTGCTGCCTGCATGGGGAGTGAGGAGATCGTCCGGTTGCTCATTGAAAATGGAGCTGACATCAGAGCACAAGATTATCTGGGTAAGAGTTCTGCACGGGCCAAGTGACTTGCATATGGCCAGGTTCTGCCACACTTACACACACTGAGCAGTTACTTTACTCCACATGCAGTTCCTGGGAGGGTGCTCGGGAAATGTAAGAAGATGTTAATGTTATCAATCAATAATATGCTCCTTAGTTTTGTTAATCAAGAATTATTTTTAATGCACATCAGCTGTTCTAGTCTGTATCATGTCTTGTGATCCCTACATTGCTTCCTCCATAGGGAACACTATTCTCCACATCCTGGTTCTCCAGCCCAACAAGACTTTTGCCTGTCAGATGTACAACCTGCTTCTCTCCTATGACAAGAGCGATGGGAGTCTGGGAACCCTGGACTCAATTCCAAACAATGAGGGGCTCACTCCATTCAAACTGGCTGGAGTGGAAGGCAACACCGTGGTGAGTTCATGCACAACACTGTTAGCTCTTCACAGGAGAAGGCTTTCAGAAATGGGTAGCTCAAGTGTTCTCTGTCTAAGGCGACTGGCATCCAGGTAGCCTATTAATTGTGTAGAAAAGGAATATCAAGTCTTGTCTTCCTTCCTTTGCTGGGTTTCTTCACAGACATGGAGGACCAGGGAACTTCTCTCCCTTCTCTCCATTACCTAGCCTTCATTACTCTTGATGTCATACATTTAGTAGTTCTACGGTCAGCCACAGTCTTCCAAGAAAAACAGTGTAGACAAGAACTGAATTTCTAATATAAAAACTAGGGCTGTCAAGTGATTAAAAAAATTAGCGCTGTTAAACAATAATATTTAAATCTTTATTTAAATATTTTTGGATGTTTTCTTCATTTTTAAATATATTGATTTCAATTATAACACAGAATACAAAGTGTACGGTGCTCACTTTATATTATTATTTTTTATTATAAATATGTGTACTGTAAAAAACAAAAGAAATAGTATTTTTCAATTCACTTAATACAAGTACTATAGTGCAATCTCTTTATCATGAATATTGAACTTACAAATGTAGAATTATATGTACAAAAATAACCTGCATTCAAAAATAAAACAATGTAAAACTTTAGAACCTACAAGCCCACTCTCTCTTACTTCACCCAATCGCTCAGACAAACAAGTTTGGTTACAATTTGCAGGAGATAATGCTGCCTGCTTCTTGTTCAGTCACCTGAAAGTGAGAACAGGCATTCACATGCAGGGCCGGCTCTGGCTTTTTTGCCGCCCTAGGCGAGCCCTAGGCAAAAAAGCCACCCGCCGCCCTCCTCCTCCCCGAGCGTGGCAGGGGAGGGCGCCGAGCCCGGCCACGGGCCCACAATCCCCGACCAGCGGGAGCGCCAGGAGGAGGGCGGAGAACCCCCGGCGGCCAGAGCGCCAGGGGGAGGGCGGCGAGCCTGGCCGGGGCTCTCCGCTCTCCCCGGCGGCCAGAGCGCCGGGGGGAGGGCAGAGAGCCCCCGGCGGCCAGAGCACCGGGGGGAGGGCTGCAAGCCCGCCGCAGCTCTCCGCTCTCCCCGACCCGCCGGAGCACCGGGGAGAGGGCGGCCAGCCCGGCCGGGGCCCCGCCGCGCCGCCCCCCTCCAGGCGCCGCCCCAAGCACATGCTTGGTGGGCTGGTGCCTGGAGCAGGCTCTGTTCACATGGCATTGTTGTAGCTGGCGTCGTAAGATATTTATGATGCGCTAATGATTCATATGTCCCTTTATGCTTTGACCACCATTCCAGAGGACATGCGTCCATGCTGATGATGGGTTCTGCTCGATAATGATCCAAAGCAGAGTGGATTGACACGTTCATTTTCACATCTGAGTCAGCAGAAGGTTGATTTTCTTTTCTGGTGGTTCAGGTTCTGTAGTTTCTGCATCTGAGTGTTGCTCTTTTAAGACTTCTGAAAGCATGTCCCACACCTTGTCCCTCTCAGATTTTGGGCAGTACTTCAGATTCTTAAACCTTGGGTCGAGTGCTGTAGCTATCTTTAGAAATCTCACATTGGTATCTTCTTTGCGTTTTGTCAAATCTGCTGTGAAAGTGGTCTTAAAATGAACATGTGCTGGGTCATCATCCAAGACTGCTATAACATGAAATATATGGCAGAATGCAGGTAAAACAGACCAGGAGATATACAATACTCCCCCAAGAAGTTCAGTCACAAATTTAATTAACACATTATTTTTTTAATGAGCATCATCAGCATGGAAGCATGTCCTCTGGAATGGTGGCCAAAGCATGAAGGGGCATACAAATGTTTAGCATATCTGGCACGTAAATACCTTGCTACAAAAGTGCCATACAAACGCTTGTTCTCACTTTCAGGTGACATTGTAAATAAGAAACAGGTACCTCCCCCGAAGCTCCCTAGGCCGCGGTTCTCCGTTCCCGGCCAATGGGAGCTGTGGGGGGCAGGGCCTGGAGACAAGGGAAATGCACAGAGTCCTCTGCCCCCCTGCCCAGGAGCTGCAGGGACGTGCCTGCCGCTTCTGAGAACGGTGCGTGGCCCATGGCGCCACGGGGGGCAATCCTGTGGGCCAGATCCAAAGCCCTGACGGCCTGGATCCTTCCCCACATTTCATCCCCAAAATTGCCTTTTCTGTGATTTTATTTTTGCTTGAAGGTGCTAAAAATGACACCTTCTGAGCGAGGGGAGGCTTCAATAGTGTGTGTGGGGCAGATGGTTGGATGTAGAGTTTGTTAATGCAGCAACAACCATTTTGTCAATGTCACAGAGAAGCAAACCTTTGAAAGATGTGAAAACTGCAAAAAGACCCAGTGCCAAATTTTAGTGCAGAACTTGTTTTAACCAATTTGGCATATGTGTACTATGAGTTGCATGAATTCTTGGGCATTGACTGATTCCACACCATCCCTTTCCTTGCTCCTCAGATGTTTCAGCACCTCATGCAGAAGCGAAAGCACACTCTGTGGACTTTTGGCCCCATGACTTCTGTCCTCTATGACCTCACAGAAATTGACTCCTGGGGTGAAGATCAGTCCTTCCTGGAGCTCGTTGTCTCAACCAAGAAAAGAGAGGTACACTAGGGGGTCAGAGTCTCTGTACAGAAAGTGTTTGTTTTGAAAAGAGAAATCCAACTGGACACTGAAAGTTCCAGCTGTGCAGCTATTCCATATAGTCCACAAGGTCTGGCACTTCTTGCCCATTTGAGACAGGGAACAAGTGAAATGCAGCAAACCCTTTGTGACACAGCAAATAGGATTCTACACAGCAGTTACACCATAGACTTGCAGTTTGAGAGGATGATTTAAAGAATGTTGCCTTAGGCCCTTGCCATGTTCAGTATGCCCAAGGATGCTAATACTACAGGAGGCGATGTCGCTGATTCAGCAGAAGGTGCTCTCTGATTCTGTAGTCTCAAAGACATAAATAAGAAGTATTCTGTGCAGCTGCAATACTCCTTGCCTATATCATGGGGTGTTGTGAGCTTTTCCTTAACGATTATTGAGGGGCTTTGAGATCCTGGGATGGAAGGTGCTTTAGAAATGCAAAGTTTGATTATTCGGTCCCTCATTAACTAACATTCCAAATTATCTTCAGAAACCAAAATGGGTAAGACCCATCCAGGTTTGATGTTGGGGAAAAAAAGATACCCGCCAACAACAGGTTTCCTTACAGAGAAAACACAAACATCTTCAAGGCTCAATTAGTGTCCTAAAGCATTAATTGTAATGACATCAACAAATAATGAGCTAGACCTCCTAATATATGGAAAATATCAATAGATACTGAAATTATAAGAAGGGGAAACAAATCCAGCACATTGTTAGTTATGTTATGTAATTTCCATACAGCAAAAGTCTAGAAACACTTATGAAATAGATAGTCCTAGATCAAAATTATTGATGACTTTTCCAGCTACTAGAAGCCCTGGGAAAATATGCTGACCTCACTATGTTTTTTAAATATATTCAGAATCCCTTAAATCCCTGCATGTGTTGGTATCTGTGAGCATTTAGAGGACAGTATACATTATGAAATGGATCTATAAAAACTACCTGAGAGCCAGTCCAGGAGACTAATTCAAACATTTAAAATACATTCTGATGACTCCCTCTCTTCCAAAGACATGCATGCATTTGCAGATCCACAATTCTTGATGTCATGAGCTAAATAATGTCGAGAAAGCTATTTTCCCAAATAGAGGAAAACATGATGGGCTCATACTAGGCAATAACTCTCTCTCAAACAATGAAAATTATATTTTTTTGTCAGAATCTGCACTAACAGACTAGCCCTTCTTTTTCTATCCCATACATATATGGATCATACTGTTAAAGTACTATTTCCCATTCACACCCTTCTGTAACTTACTCACCCACTTTTGCTCTGCTGTAACTCCATTATTATAAGTTATTTGCACTGCAGTAGTATCTCGAGGCTCCAACTGAGATCAGGACCCTATTGTGCTAGGCACTGTACAAATACATAGTGAGAGATAATCCTTGTCCTTTCACAGTTTAAAGGGACAAGAATGGGAGAAATGTTTATGTCCGGCAGCTAAGGCACAGAGAGATTACAGGTAAAATTAAAAAAAAAACACTTAAATTCCATTTGAAAATGGGCCTTAGGCTCTTAAATCACTTAGGTGCTTTTGACAATTTTGCACTAAGTGCATTGCCCAAGGTTGCAGAGGAAGTCAGTAGCAGAACCTGCACTTACACTCAGTTCAGTGAGATATAGACATCAGTTGAGTTACTTTTGGTTTACATTGATGTGAGAGGAGAATCAGGCCCTGGGCAAGGGATAGGAGGGTCAGGAGAAGCTAGACTCCCTTATATTCATTTAGGTTCAGCTCCATACTAGGCTCACAGAATCCTCACCTCTGCTACCATAACTGGACTAGTTCAATATCAGTGATACACTGCCATCATTTTAGGCAACCAGAGGATTTTAATAAAGCTTATTATAGATTGTTTTCAAGACAAAAGCCTGTATTCAGGTGAATATTTGTAATTTGTGTATGAAATAGAAATTATTCTATGTACTGTGGCTACACTACTATTTATACTCGCGCTAGCCTGATGAGAGCTAGTGTGTACGCAAACAGGGAAATCGCACCCCTAGCTCAGAGTGTAGACACAGACTTAAAGTTCCCTCATGCCCTTTGATCTACCTCGTAGAGTAGATCACAGTGCACTAAGGAACTTTTAGTGCACGGTACAGGTACACGATCGATATACCCAGTTAGTGTGCTGTAGATTGACAGCCCAGCTTCCCACACACTTAACTCATCATCTAGACAAGTACTTAGATTCACACCTACTTACCAGCATGTAACTTAGCTATGCACACCCCACACACAGCACCCACCAGGTCTAAGCGAGTCTAAGCTGGAGTGATGTAAGGGCTTCGAAGAGGAGTCTAGCAGGAGAAACAAAACTAGGGTATTGTAAGAATGTGTAGTTTAAAGTATCCTCTCAGCCCTTAATTTAATTTACATCTTTTTCCTGCTTCCGGGTACATAAGCTGCCCAAACTTGGACTCCCCTGTGCACCTGTAAATAGATTTCGGGCAGTCTGAACTGGGTGTAAGGGTATCTACCTTATACTTCTGAATTTGGCCCCATACGTCTCCAAGTATCTCATACAAAAATCTCAGGCTTAGAGCAGACACCTAGGACTTCGTACAGCTGAGGCAAATGGGTATCGGCAACGAATGGGCAACAAATGTACAGATTGTTTAAAATATGCAAATATAATATTTTATTGGCCTGAGACTCTTACTTGCTGTCCATTGCTAATCAAATCTGAAAAGATTTACCTGCTTCTTGCCCCTAAAAATATCTGATGCCAGGGACTCCTGTATTTCAGGGTGTATAGGAATGTATCATGATCCTAAATCTTTGAGAATCATAGGATTACTTAAAGTCCTTCCTAGAACAATGATGTCATTCTCTTGCTGTCTCTGCAAGGAACTGTCATAACTCAGACTAATTCTAAATGAGTTAGAAATCTGCCATCCATCTTCCTTTTTGGAGAAAGAACTCATTTACCTTCAGTGGTAAACCTACTGTGAACTCTGGGAAACATAAATTGTTTGCCAGTGAGGAGCTTGTTAACCTGGCCAACAATCTTTGAGAGCAAACAAATAAATTCTCTGAGGTTCATTTTTTTATATGTGGATAACTTTCAAGTGAAATAACATCATATGCTGACTTCTGCTGAAGCAATATGCAGATGGCTTTGACTCTTGCCTTAGCATGTTATGACTGACGTCTGTATAAACTGTTTCTCTTGACCTCTGAAGGAGACTTTGATCCACCATAAACAATCAGCTACATACCTAATTCTGCCTTTGAATATATGGGTGTACTTTCTACTGAAGTCAGTGGGAGTTACATTCACATATGGGAGAGCAAAACTGAGCCCCAAGGCCCATCTGGAATAAACCAGCATAATTCCATTTCCTTCAGTTGAGCTATACTGATTTATACCCACTTAGGATCAGGACCTACATCACTACGGTGATGTTATTGAAGAGAATGGGGCTGCGTGTCAATCTTCTGGCTTTGGTTTTCAGTTCAAATATATAAAATATCTCCTTTCTATGGGCCATGTCTATGAAGTCAGACAGTCTGTCTGTATCTTCCTTTAAAAACTTTTAACCAAACTGTACAATGCTAGAGCAGGGACACAATTCTCTAACAAATATTATATATTGGTAAAGAAATTCTATAGAACATGTCTCATTCTCTGTTACATTGGACAGGACATTTAGAGACATTTCTATAGAATCCTATTGTCTCATGCCTTTTAAATTCTATGGGCTTTTCCCATAAGAGTATATACCAGAATGTTCCTATGAAAGAACTATCTATAATTCAGAATCTTTTCAAAAGGATGTGTTAAGTATTGATTACTGAAAAGCTGTAATTGATTTTCTCAGTCTGATCCTATGTCAGATCTATGAAACTTTTTTCTTCTTTTCATTCTGTAGTTACAGGCTTGATTTCAGTTTTGTAATAGCCTGGAGGTGCATTATTATTGTTGTGGAAAAAAACTCACATATGAAAACTAAAAAAACAGTGCAGTGTTATTTTTATTCTTGCAGTTAAAACCTCCATAAAAAAATTGCCATACACTTATAGGATTATTTTATATCTGTGAACTCCTTGGCTGGTGAACAAACAAGCCAAACCCTTTGTATAGTTATCATTTGTTTCTCTTGTTTTCTCTGGACTGTTTTTCTTTGGCTGTGTTTCCCAGTCAGCTGTCTTCCAGCCCTCTCCCTTTCTTCTCCTAAAAGAGATAGTTGGTTTAATGCCAACAAAATCTTTGATGTGAGGACTTTAGAAATCTACTAAGGCAAGACTCAAACCTGCTCCTTTGCAGGAGGACCTTCATCCAGTGGGAGCTACTGGAAATTCTGTTTGTGAAATCCTAAAAATGTAAAGGTGGCCAGAGGAAGAGAATATGATCACAATATATTCTTATTTCCATTTCTCCATGCCCCCATTCCTAATACATCCTTCATAGCCATTGAAGAAATGCTTTTTTCAAGTGCTATTTCAAATGGCTCAAATAGACAGGGATGCCATCATTTCCTGGAGTCAACTATCCTACGTGTTGATGGACCCTTCCCCATTAGCAACATCACCCCATTTATAGTAATAAAAACAATGTTTGACCCTTCTAGAACATTTCCCATCTGAGGAGCTCTGCACACTTTGCAAATATTAGAGAATTAAGGGCCAGGTATTCAAAAGAGCTCAGCAGCGAACAGTTCCTATGTATTCTATTCTGTGTAATTTAAGTTCTTATACTACCTTCATCATTGTTATATATGAATGCCTGTCAATAATGCATTAATCAAGGGGACTAATATTTGTCACATTTGGTTCATTCTCTCTCAATCTCCTGAGAGGTAGAGAAGTGTGTGTGCAGTGGAGTGTTTAGTTATGGTAGAGTTTTGTTTTTTACAATGTGTACACTGTTCTGTTTGTGTCAGAGAAGGCAGGTTAAAGAAGTGCACCTTGCACTTGGAGAAGATGATGGTGAGGTTGTGATGGTCCTTGGTTCTTGTGGAAGTTCATTCCACAGTCTGGGACCAAACCCCAGGAAAGTTCTGTCTCCTGTGCAGATGAGCTTTACCTTGATGGTAGAAAATTCCATTGCAGGGCTGTTGAGCATGGTCTTCATCCTGGAACGGTAGTCAAGCTTCTAAGGATGAGTGACCTGAAGAGAAAGACCAAGACCTTGAATTTGATTCATGATTCTATGGGAAGCCAGTGTGGAGAACAGGCCTCATATGCTCACAGTAACCTGTGCTGCTGAGGAGATGCACTGCGGTGTTCTCAATGGTAGCTGTTGGGTGATTAGCATATTTGAAAATTTGACCTCTTCATTTAGGGGCTTAAAGGGGAGTTAAGCAATTTTGAAGCTCTGGCCACAAGCCTCTCAAATCACCAACACCCAATAAGTTAAGAGAAGTATCTACCCACTTTACAGAGCAGAAAAAGAGGCAGAGACATTGAGGGCAGAATTTTTCAGCCTTGGTGACAAGTTTTCCACAGATGCAGAATTCTCAGAACTCCAAGAGACAAGGTGGGTGACGTAATATCTTTTGTTGGACCACTTCTCTTAGTGAGAGAGAAAAGATATTACTTCACCACCCTTTTCTCTCTGATATCCTGTGACTGACACAGTTGCAATTACACTGCACACAACTCCAAGTGACGTCAAGAGAAGCACCTTTGGAAAACATACCATTTATTTAGGTGCCTAAGTTTAGGCACTGTCTGAAAACTGACTTAAGTGACTTACACAAGATCACTTGAGAAATCTGTGCCACTACTGGAAATAGAACCCAATGTTCTGACTTCCAGTCCTTTCCTTTAATGGCTAGATTATGTTTTTCACAGTGAAAGGTGTCTTATCTCTTATATAACATAGGTTACCTTTAGCTTTAATTGAGTCAGTCTTCAAAACAACTTCCAATCACAGGAAAAGAAGATTCACAAACTTGAACTAGTTTTGTGCACCCTATGAACCTCCAGAACTGTTCACAAGGTTCAAAAACCACTGACATCGTGAGGTTAGCCCATCCCTATAGTATACACATCATACAGTGTGTAAAATGACTCATAAAAGAGGTAGAGATCTTTCTAGATGGAGGAGATCATAAAAATTAGATTTATTACCATTTTCAAGAATACAGCTTCTTTTTTGCAGTGCCTTATACCCCCACAGATTTTATAGGGGTCATTCAATCACTGCAGAAATATATCCACCTCTGGGCTAGAACCCAGTATTAAGTTAGCAGTACAGAGCAACACATCAGGATAGGAAGTGCAGTTGCAGAGTAGTTAAGTCAATGTCCCCATGTTTCCATCGTCTCCAACACACACACATACACACTCTCCCTTCCTCCCTCTCTCTTTCCCTCTTAATGAATAAAACCAGAGTGCAAGGGTGTTCCCTATTTTCTTAGCACTTTGTCCAACAGTCTTATGGGCAGCTGGGCTAATGCAACTTGACCTGAGAATTCGCTTGTGTATGAGATGAATGTAGTGTCCTCATGCTGAGATGCCTTTGGAGAAATTAGCTTGTGTTAATGTCCTCCCAGGAACTAGTGTAGAGAGTGCCTATAAACCAATGTCTCTCACAGCTAATAACTGATCTCTCTCTCTCTCTCTCTCTCAGGCCCGTCAGATTTTAGACCTGACACCTGTGAAGGAGCTGGTGAGCCTGAAGTGGAATATGTATGGACATCCCTATTTCTGTTTCCTGGCCTTGTTCTATGTGCTGTACATGATTTGCTTCACCATGTGCTGTGTTTACCGACCTCTGAAAGCTCGATCAGAAAACAAAACGAATGACAGAGACAACACCATCTACGTCCAGAAAATGCTGCAGGTGCATTGTGTATGGGGATTGGAGGGCCACACGGGTAGGGTTGGGGGCATCAGTCCAACCTATCGGGGAAATCCTACTGTCTCCTGACCTCAGTGGCTGCAGCTATGCCTTCTTTCATTTACTCACCCCATACTCTTTTTCAGGGAGGGAGTACAGTTGGGGAAATTCTCTGTGTCCTGATGTCTTAGGTGCTCAGCCTGGACCTGGATGGCTCTTGTGGCCTCTCCAGAAACTATAGTGTTCCCCCATACCAATCAGTAGCCCCTCTTTTTCTCCTTTCAGGAATCCTATGTGGCATATGAGGATGAACTCAGGCTGGTCGGGGAGCTGATCACAGTAATTGGAGCTGTAGTGATATTGATCCTGGAGGTAAGAGCAACAGTGTGAGCAATACAGCCCTGGATTCTAATCAAGAGAGCTCTTACTTAAGCTAAACAGAGACTGGCCTGTGTTGGTGACTCAGTAGGGGCCATTCTTTGAACCCTAGTGCCTCGACAGGGTCCTATGGAGCACTATGCTACTGGAAGAGCCATCTATCAGATAAGACCTGAAACTGAGGTTGTGGCCACTTGGCAGTAAGGATTTCAGGAACTTCAGAGAAGAGTTAGGGTGTTGTCACCACTGTTTTGGCAAAATGTAGCTCCATCTGGATCTGGGATGTTTGTGTAATGCTCTGTGCTCTTAAACAGCTTCCATGTTCCTCCCCATATGTGACTGCATTTCCTGAATATCCAGGACAATTAGCTGTAAGATCAATGGATGAACAGAACTCTATGTAGTTTGGGAATTATCGTTCTGATCATCTCCTTGGGCATAACCCATCTGATCCCCAAACTTAACAGAGTGTTCCTCTTAGATTCCAGATATCCTTAGAGTTGGAGCCACCAAGTACTTTGGACAAACCATCCTGGGAGGACCGTTCCACGTCATCATGTGAGGTTCCACCTCTCCAAATCTCATAAGTAGCTTGTCTCTCATTTGCTATCCAGCTGTCCTTTACCTTGTCATTAGACCTGCTCTCTCTCCTCTTCTGGGTGTTGCTTTTCTTTGCTTCTTTCTCCTTCTGCATCAGTTTATGTGCATCAGAGAGACAGCGAGATAGAGATGCCTGGCAGCCAGGCAAGTGAGCAAGCACAGATGAGTGTAAGTTTTAGCCTGTTTTCATCTACATGTGGGATAGAGTGTACCTGTGTGTGAACACAAAAGAAAGAAGGATGATATGATTCCCATGCTGATCCTCCTGGCTCTCCCTCTTCCTCTTCAGCATCACCTATGCCTGTATGATCCTGGTGACCATGGTGATGCGTCTCACCAGCACCACTGGAGAGGTGGTCCCCATGTCCTTCGCCCTGGTGCTGGGCTGGTGCAACGTCATGTACTTCGCACGAGGATTTCAGATGCTGGGACCCTTCACCATCATGATTCAGAAGGTAAGGACAACACAGCCTTGTTACACAGAGACTGATCCCAGTACACAAATCCAGACAGTGGAAACCAGAAGAGCAGACTTCCTCCAACAGGATTTATATTAGAACATGGAAATGAGGTCTTTTCTGTGACAGGAAGAACTCAGGTCTTGCCCATAGGGGAAAGATGCATGCCTTTTCCACTGGACACAGGTGTTAGCCATAAGGGCTTTCTGATGCTCCTTTCTTCAACATACCTGTAACATCAGATATATTTAGTATCACACAGTGAGAAGGGGGAAAAGTCCTTGGCTTGGTGGGAGAGTCGGGTCTCATGGCAACTATACCTGTCTCCTTGCTCTGCAGATGATATTTGGAGACCTCATGCGCTTCTGTTGGCTCATGGCGGTGGTGATACTTGGCTTTTCATCAGGTGAGACCATAATTTGTAAACCAGGCTGTGTTCCCTCTGCTGTCTCGCCATGTCTTATCTGGGTAATTCAGCCTAGCATCACCTTGCTGTCTGTGAGAGAGCCAGCTAGGGCTGTGACAACACATGGCTTCTATTTCTACTCCTGGGGGAATTCTGCACCACTGCTTGCATGCAGAATTAATATCTGCCATAGATTTCTTTGCTTTCCGGCAGAAAAATGACTTTCTGATGGGGAAGCAAAGGGAAAATGCAAGCGTGGCCGTGCGCCCCTCCCTAGCAGCACAGGCACATTGTTTCATGTGCCTGGAGCAACCAGCAGAGAGGTAAATCACTGTGGGGGGTCGGGGCTAGCGACACCCCAGCTGTGGTGCCAGGTCAGACCCACTCCCCATCCGCCCAACCCCCGTGCTTCTATAGCGAGACTCCCTATATCCAGACCCTCTGCTGAGCCTCACCTTGTGCATCTGAAGCCCTCCAGCACCTGGACCCCGCATTCCCATCAAACCCCACCCTCCCACACCTAGCTCTCGGGACACCCTGACCAGGGATTCCTATCCTGCACTAGGATCAGCTGCTAGTCCCAGCTGGGCTGAGGGTGGGGGAGAAGCGTATTTCCCCTGCATGGAGCAACCGGGGCCAGAGCGGGGTAAGACCCACCCCAAGAAACCTCCCACAGCTCTGCCCCCTCCCACCCCTCCCCACCCCCCGCTTCCTGCCTCCATCACTCCTCAGCCACCAGGGGAGGGGTCACTACGGAGAGCTGCTCCCCTGTCTGCCCAACACCTGTGCATTTGGGGGCCCCCAAACTCAGACCCCCTCGCTGAGCCTCACCCCTGGAACCTAGCTCCCCCTGCATCTGGACCCCTCCTCCTTGAAAACGGACCCCCACCCCTACACCAAAACCATGCCTCAACCAATCCCCCACACCTGGATCCCCCCTGCCAAGCCCCACCTGCCTGCATCTGGACCCTCCCTGCTGAGCCCCACCCCCCTGCATCCAGACTCCCACCTGTGCACCCAGACCACCCCCTGCTGAGTCCCCCCGCACTTAAACCCCCTCCCCAATGAGCCTCACCCCCCAGGCACCTGGACCACCCCGATGAGCCCCCCTACACACACCTGGACCCCCATCCCACTGAGCTCCAACAAGCTGCACCCAGACCCCCACCCACCAAGCCGCACTCCCCCAGCACCCAACCCCCTCTCAAGCTCCAACCAACTTCACCTGGATCCCCCCCTGCACCCAGAACATCCCCCCCCCCTCCTCCGCACGAGCTCCTGTGCATCCAGATCCCCCTACATCCAGGTTGCCCCACACAGAACCCTCCCACCCTGCACCTGGATTCCTCCACACTAAGCCCCTCCACACTTGGATCCTGGTGGGCTGAGCCTGCCTGCCCCCATCTGATGCGCCTGGTTTGGAGGGGCAGGGCCCCGCAGTGTTTCTAGGGCAGGTCCGTCCCTTGCGCTGTATCAGGGTCCGGTGCAGCCTCAGCACCAAGTCCATGCCCTGGGGGTGGTGGGAGTTGCAGGGTGATTTCCCACCTCTGTGCAGCCAGTGGCCTGTCCTCCCCACTGCCATGCTGGAGCCTCCACACTTATTTGTGGACAAATACAATTTGCAGACTTTTAAAATATTGTGCACAGAGTTTTTATTTTTTTGGCACAGAATGTTTAATGTTTTTTGGTGCAGAATTTCCTCAGGAGTATATTTCTGTGGAAATGATGCTAGAACTTTCCCCAGCATGGCCTTCTGCTATGTCACAGCTTGTTTATTATTAATTGCTTATATTATTGTAAAGCCCAAAGGCCCCAGTCAGGAATTAGCTCCCAGCATGAGGGGAGTTGCACACACAGATAGACATAGTCCCTGTCCAGAAGATCTTACACTCCAATAATCCCCATTCTGATCCCACCCCTCAGATTCTCTGTTGCTGACCACAGGGCATTATTCCTATTGTAACTTTCTCTCTCTTCCTTTCCTTGTGCCCCTCCAGCCTTTTACATAATCTTCCAGACAGAGAACCCCACAGAGCTGGGCCAGTTCTACAGCTATCCCATGTCTCTGTTCACCACCTTTGAGCTCTTCCTCACCATCATTGATGGGCCTGCCAACTACAGCGTGGACCTGCCCTTCATGTACAGTGTAGTGTACTTTGCCTTTGCCGTCATCGCCACCCTCCTCATGCTCAACCTGCTCATCGCCATGATGGGCGACACCCACTGGCGCGTGGCCCACGAGCGGGATGAACTTTGGAGAGCACAGGTGAGGGCTCTGTCGTGTTAGGCCAGGCAATGGAGAAATCTTTCCAGTACAGAATGAAGAGAGTTGTCCCTGGTAGAAGTGCCGATAGGTGCAGCTAATCGCTCCTGCAGTGCAAAGAAGCATGGCCACATCACCCTCATCCTTACACAGCTCCATGGGCTTGGCCTCCCATTTATTTCAAGATCCAGTTTAACCCACCACCACCTTGATAGGTCTGCTCCAGCCTATCTGTCTCCTGTCTCATTCCCTCTGCATATCAAGCACCATCTTTTCCGTCCCTTCACATAGTATGGGTACTCTCAGTGTGAGAGCCTTCTCCTCTGTAGCTCTTGACATCTGGACCAGCCTTTCTGTCTCTTTGCGCTCTATCCACACCTCCATATCATTTCAAACCACCATTCAGAAACCTGTTTGTCCTCTCTTGTCCATCCCAACCCCTTTATATTCCTCACTCACTGACACTCCTCATAGGTTCACAGATTCCAAGGCCAGAAGGGACATTGTGATCCTCTAGTCTGACCTCCTGTAGAATACAGGCCATAGAACTTCCCCTAAATAATTCCTAAAGCAGATCCTTTAGGGGGAAAAAATCCAATCTTGATTTAAAAATTGTGAGTGATGGAGAATTCACCACGACCCTTGATAAATCGTTACAATGGTTAATTACTCTCCCTATTAAAAATGTACATCTTATTTCCAGTCTGAATTCGTTTCACTTAAATTTCCAGCCATTGGATCATGTTATACCTTTCTCTGCTACCTCCTGCCTTTCCAAGACAGACCAGGAAGTTTAATGGTTGACTTTCCTGATGTTGCAGGGTATTGGGTTCCTGATGGTAACTGGACACTCACCCTGCTCATGGCTGTAATATTTGCATAACCACAGTGGCATCTCCTATAGACTGTTCACTGACTGGCTTATTCCCTGCCACCATGTGTAAGGAGGAAGAACATTCAGTTTTCTGTTGTTTGAAGATGGCCCATGGTTTGCTCAACCCTTGGTGAAATTAAAGCAAAAATAGTGAGCAACCCTTCAGTAGACAGGATAGAGGTGCTGCCTCTCTTTCCTTCAATACCTCTAAACTCTGCTCATGGAGGTGTTGTCAATGATTTTCAAAGTGAGGTTTTTCAGATAGTGCTTTGGGTTTGTTTTTTTTTACTTTCCTCTCCCTCATTTTTATTTGGGCAGGTTGTTGCCACTACTGTCATGCTGGAACGGAAACTTCCACGATGCCTCTGGCCTCGCTCTGGGATTTGTGGACGGGAGTATGGACTGGGGGACCGGTGGTACCTTAGGTGAGTCTCCCTCTCCGATATGTTCTTTGTGGATGTGTATGTGTGTACACACTAGAGATGGTCAGAAAATGGATCTTCCATCCTCTGAAAAGTTTCAAGATTTCAAAAAAATGTTCAAACTGAATCAGAACCAAACCCCAAAATTTTGACATTTTTCACTAAACGAAATTTCAAAAAACATTCATTTCAGATCAATTGAAACAATTTGTTTTGATAAATTTGAAGTGTTTTGCTTAAATGTTGACCCCTTTATTATTTTTGATATAAAATACAGTAAATTTAAAAACAAAAAGTAATTTCAACATGAAAAATTGAAAGTTTTCATCCCTGGAATGTCAAAATGGTACACTTGGACATGTTCACAAAAACAGATTTCAATTTTTCCCCCCAAAAATGATGTGTTGTGGAAATCAATAGGACTTTGCAAAAAAAAAAATCATTTTAATCAAAACAGCATTTTTCGGTGAAAAGGTGGTTTGACTAAAATGTTCTGACCAGCTGTAGCAGGGGATTGGATGAGATGACCTCTTCCAACCCTAATCTTCTATGATTCTAGGATACACCCACCTGTGAGAGAACTGCACGTAAGTGTGCGGCACAGAGAAAGAGAAGGGGACAGCGTAACAATGCAAGGAATGAGATTGGGACTAGCTGGCTCCAGTGGCTCAGGGAATGGTCCATGAAGCCATTCCGCCATACAGATTCCAACCTGGTTTAGGACAGAGCTGGCTAAGCATTGATCCCATTAGAGGTACTTCAAGTGCCATTCAATGTGAAATGAGTTGATATGTTCAGTCCAGCTCTTCATAGATAGATGCTCATATCCCAGAAGCCACTTTCCTACCTGGCAGTCTCAACAGAGAGGCCAAGGCCCTGAGTGGGCTACAGAGCCTTAATTCTTCTTTTTCTCCCACATACCACCAAGTATGCAGAGTATTTGTTGGGTTGTTGTGTGTGGCTGGGGAAGCTTTTCCCTGTGCATTAGATCAGTGGTTCTCAACCAGAGGTCCGGGGCTTCTGAGGGACCGCGAGCAGGTTTCAGGGGGTCCACCAAGCAAGACCAGTGTTAGACTTGCTGGGGCCCAGGGCAAAAAAAGCCGAAGTCCCACTGCATGGGGCTGAAGCCTGGGGCACTGAATCCCGCCATCTGGGGCTGAAGCAGAAGCCTGAGCAACTTAGCTTCAGAATGCCCCCTGCGGCGTGGGGACCAGGGCAATTGCCCTGCTTGCTACCCCTTAATGCTGGCCCTGGATTTTATATGCGGAAAACCAGTTATTGTGGCACAGGTGGGCTGTGGAGTTTTTATAGCATGTTTGGGGAGGCCTCAAAAAGAAAAAGGTTGAGAACCCCTGCATTAGATAAGCAGAAGGCTTCAGTCTCTGGGCGTGTCAGCCTAGTAGCTTTCATCAGCACTGAAATGCACTCAAATACTTCCAAAACAAGACAAGAATAATAGAAAGGGGCATTTGGACAGGACCCTGGGTCTAACATGAGCCCCACAGTGTCAAGTTACTATGTTGGACTGGCTAAGCAGCAGTTCTGCAGAGAAAGATCTGGGGATAACAGTGGACGAGAAGCTGGATATGAGAAGGCCAACGACATATTGGGATGTATTAGTAGGAGCATTGCCAGCAGATCGAGGGAAGTGATTATTCCCCTCTATTTGGCACTGGTGAGGCCACACCTGCAGCATTGTGTCGTTTTGGTCCCCCCAGTATGGAAGGGATGTGGACAAATTGAAGAGAGTCCAGCAGAGGGCAACGAAAATGATTAGGGGGCTGGGGCACATGACTTACAAGGAGAGGATGAAGGAACTGGGGTTATTTAGTCTGAAGAAGAGAAGAGTGAGAGGGGATTTGATAGCAGCCTTCAACTACCTCAAGGGGGGTTCCAAAGAGGATGGAGCTAGGCTGTTCTCAGTGGTGACAGATGACAGAACAAGAAGCAATGGTCTCAAGTTGAAGTGGGGGAGGTCTAAGTTGGATGTTAGGAAACACTATTTAGTAGAAGGGTGGTGAATCACCTAGGGAGGTTGTTAAATCTCCATCCTTAGAGGTTTTTAAGGTCTGGCTTGAGAAAGCCGTGGCTGGTATGATTTAGTTGGGAATTGGTCCTGCTTTGAGCAGGGGATTGGACTAGATGATCTTCTGAGGTCTCTTCCAGCCCTAATATTCTATGATTCTATGTCGTGTGTTTCCAAAGTAGAATGTATTCAGCAGGGAGTGGACCCAAGACACAAAATTTGGACCAAATTCCAACAACCACCCTCAAAGTTTGAAGTTGTTTTGATCCAGAATTTTGGTTTAAGTCCTGTACTAGGGTTTCAATATAACTTATTTCTTCTGATTTGGATAACTTCAGGCCTGATTCTCCTCTCACTTCTCTGGTTTTATTCCTGATTCTTACCACTGTGAGAGGAGAATAAGACCAATGTCTGGATTTATCCTGTCTGTGTTTTGTGGATCAGGCCCCAAGGGGGAGCCATTGCACTATACAATGGGGCTCTCAGCAGGTTTCAGCAGATGGATGCTTGTGGATGTCAAGCCTGCTGGAGACAATGAGCAGCTTAGCTATACAGTGTCACTGATGGGCAACAGCTTATAGCTGAGAGTGCTGTGTAGCCCACCCACCCATCCCATGCCCACACATGTACACCACACCTCCCAGGTGGTCCCCTCAAGGGGAGAATGGTGCTGACACACTCCAATCGTGTGTGCAGTCCTACCGTGTGCCTGTTACCAACACACAGCATGGCAGAGCACTACCCTCAGAGAGACAGCAGCGAGCTAAGCAGAGAAGGAAGGTTCCTGGGTGGAACAAAAGAGGGGAAGTGGATCAGAAGGGGTGAGCTTCAGGTGCAAAGTGCAGCACAGTGGAAAGGGTGTCTTTCCCAGGGACTCAACTTGGAGAATCACAGGGAAGGGCAGATTATCAAGATCAGAAGAGACGAACTAGCAGTTGGGAAGAGGAAGTAGATGTGTGGTCAAGTGGAGCAAGTCCACCAAGAATTTGCAGTTGGTTAAAGGGGAAGGGGAAGATGTGGTTAGGAAATCAGTGAAGGGGATAGAGAAATGGAGAGCGGGAAGGAAACAATGCCAGTGAAGGTTTTGGGACAGTGGGGAGAATGGATAGAAGCCAGTGGAGGTGGTGGGTCTCCTTCAATAGTGTGTGTGTATAAACAGGAGGAAGCTAAAGGAGCTCTACTTGTGACTAGTTCCCCCATGGATGTGCTAAGCCTTGTGCTGGATGTGGTGTTGGGAGAACGCTGCTTGGTGGAGTTGCTAGTGATTGTTGAGAAGCTGGGATGTTTCTGGTGTATTCAACTTCTTCTCACCTTTCTACAGGGTAGAAGACAGGGTCGATCCCAACAAGCAAAAGATGCATCGTTACACAGAAGCGTTTAAGACCCAGGATAAGGAGGACTTTGACAAACACTCAGAGAAGCTGGATGGGGAGTTCCCCTACAAGAAGAACCTAGCACCAGTTGCTCCTTCAGTGTCCCGGAGCACATCCCAGAGCAGTTCCCACCGTGGCTGGGAGATCCTGAGGCGTACCACCTTCAGACAACTTCAAGGGGAAGTCAACCATGCCATGGAAGAGGAGGAGGTCTACCATGTCTGAGACACATCTCTCCTGACTCCACAATGTGGATGCCCTGTGTTGAAGCAATTACTTTCTCCAGGTGCTAGTGGAAACTCCAGTATGGACACCACACTCCATAGCTATTAAGAGCTCTCCAGATGCAACAGGAATGCTCCATGCTGCAGGATGGACACGCTGTCCAAGTCTCCTCTTCCCCTCTTCCATGTGTCCTTGTTGCTGTGTTGGCTAGGAGCTGAGTTGAGAAGTTTGGTGTTTGTCCAGCTCTGTAACTCTCTAAAACAGACAGAAAAATGTGCCAGCACTGGAGTTTCATCCATTTACAGGAGATCCTGACCACAGTGCAACTATGAACTGATCAGTAACTCCTCTCTCACCCTGTGATACATGGTATCTTCCTTCCCTTGGTCCCACAAAGACCACAGTGCTTTCTGAATTGAGGCGAGCTGACTTGGGAGATTTTTTTGGTACAGAACTGAAATCAATATTTAAACTCAGGAAACTAGTAGCTGCTGACACTGCAGTAATTAAAGGGACTGTCCCCGTACAGCTGGCATTCAAGAGGCTGCCAGATGTTCCTCCCTCAAGAAAGACAAACCTTTATTACTGGCATTTTCCACACTACTACTCTAGGAGGGACTGAGTGTTTTTCTGCCATATGAATGCACTTTAATCGTATTTGCTACAGAAATGTGATTCTTGGTTTCCTAAGGATATGTCACACATTCTGTGCTGGGACTTTTATCCTGTTTAAAGAGGGTGCAGGGGCTGGTGAGATGACTCCCTAAGGAGATTCCAGGTGAATTGATCCTGAGCCGTGTTTCCTATGGAAAAGTAGAAGTCTCTGGCTCAGGTCTGATATCTGCCTGCCATCTGTTATCTTTGCTGTGTTGAGACTGCAGGCTGTTTGGTCCCTGTCTTCATGGAGACCAGTGGTGTAGCTGTGGGCAAGCTGTGGTGAGGCATGTCTGCTGCAACTCACCCTGTGCTATGTCACAAGGGGAAGGGGGAGCTATATGGCCACTGTCAATCAACAGGGGAAGCAAGTGCTGGGTGAGACACAGTGGGAGGTATTGTGAGGCAACTCAGAAACAAGTCTTGTCTCTTTTAACAACATACAATGATGCCTGGTCCACAATGACTCTGATTCATCCACACAGTCCCCCACTCCAGATTCAGTGCGTTTTCACCTCTTCCTTTAGTTCTCTGCCAGGACCTCCCTTCAGGAAAATGACTACAGGGAAGAAATGAGGTGCCCTTTTGGAGGGCCTCATGCCCTCACCAACTCACAGTGTAATCCCAATAGCAGAATTAATTTGAGTGCAACTTGAAGCCTGACATTTCCTCTTTAGCAGGCCCTGTGAGACAATCTCTGTGTCTAAGGGGGACCCAAAGATAGCTTGCTTGCATTAGACCCTACCATTGTAACAGGCCATCCTTTACTGCTCCTTGGCATCCAGAACCAAGGAGTGAAGGAACAGAAACTAGTGGCTTTCTTATTAATGGTGTTATTCCCACCCTTCAAAACAACTATCCCCTGCATGGGACTGCTGCAGACTTTAGTGCCATATCCAGATGCATGGCCTTTGAAGTTATGTGCATTTTATTAAATGTACTATTTTTCTCCTACTTGAATGTGTGCTTGAGCCCGAAGGGATTTTTCTCCTTGGGTTAAGATGAATACTTATTCACTGTGATTAATTGAAGTCGTGTGAATTGGTCTTTTTTTCATCTCTATACTCCCAGCCCCTCCTGTTTAACCACAGGAATTTGCACTAAATGTTTATGGAAATGGGAAATCTGTGATTTTGCACATTTACCAAAACTGTGAATTGCTGCTGTGATTGTAATTTAATTTCCTTAATCAATGGAGGAGAGAAGGGAAGGGTGCTGGTGGAGTTTTCCTTCATCTTTCCAAATCTGCCTGTGCTCTTCAACCATTTGGAAATCTGACAGAGACACAATTAAGATGGAACACCATGAGGTCATTTTTACCTAGCAATTCCCTAATGTGATTGGCTCTATTTACAAATCAAAATATGATTGTTCTAAGTGTCAGCAAAACACACACTGGGTCTGAAAATCCAGCTGTGCATTTTCTGTCTTTGGTGTCACCATAATCACACTTTAAACTTTTAGTGCCAGTATCTCTCCTCAGTTCGGCCTTCGCAATTTCATTAAAGCCATTGGGATTGTGCAGGTGTAAATGAGAGTAGACTCCAGTTGGCCCTGTGTGTTCGTACAGACTCACTAGCCAAAACAGGTGCCCCAGGGACAAGACAAGTGAGATCAGTAGGTGTAAAACCTGTATGAATTGTTGTTCCTGTTACTTTTAAATTCTGTACATAAAATGGGGTTGAAATGTAGACCAATGTGATTGGCTCTGCTGTTTTTCACTATGACATGAACTGGAGCTACTTTGCCTCATCATATCCTCCAATTCATAATCTCCTTCCTCCTTTTTTGCATCAGAAACTTGCAAAGCAAGACAGGGGGAAATATAATATGGAGTTCTGAGAACCTTTTGTGAAATACACAAAGGATACTATGAAGAAGCAAAGAATCTTTTTTTTAAAATGTCCTTATGTATGTTACTAATCATAACAACTTACAAATCTTTTAAGAATTTCAAAATCTAACTAACCATTCCTGCTGTTTTTATTGACTTTAATTTGCAGTTCACACAGATTGAACGGGAAAGCTAGACCTGCCAGCTTCATTCTGTCTCCTGTAACTTGGGCAATGCTATTGCGTTTGGGCTTCCTACAGAGCAAGGGAACATTCACATTTAAAAAACCAACCCCCCTAATTATTTTCACTTCATGCAAATGGTTTGGTTCAAATTAGATTTTGAGAGTTAGTGAAACTTCTTAAAATAACAAGCCCTACATTTTGAACCTAAATATCTTTACGATATATCTAAGTAAGCAAGTATAAGATCCCAGTCAATCATCAGGTATGTGTAGAATTTAAAATGAAAGATACTTGTAATTTTAAAAAGAATTGTAAAATAATATCCTCAGTCCCTTACCTGTCCAGCTGTGGGCTCAGCATTTGGTATTAGGAGAAATGCCTGATAACCAGAACTTGCATAGAAGTTGATGGAACTTTGGCTATTAATGGCAATAGGAATAAGGTTGGGCCCCAATAGCTGGGCCGGGAGTGTGTAAATGCTCTGCTTTAGGGGCCCAGACCAGCCATAAGCTGAGCTCCTCATAGGGGTTGGTGAGTGCCCTGAACTTCTGTTCACTTCAGTGCTCAGTTGAATGAAGCTGACATTCTTGCAATGACATCAAGTCTCTGGGCAGGCTCAGAACCTTACTCGGGAAAGACACCCATTAATTTTAATTGGCTTTGGATTGGCCCTAAAACAGGTTTCTAATCTAGTAAGGATGACTTTTTTTCAAATGCAATTTTAAATCCTCTCATTATTATTTAACCAATTTGAGTCTTAAAAAGGGTTTTATATACCTGTATTTAAAAAAAAATGTTCCCATGATCTGTTTTTCTGAACTACCTTTTGTTTTCATTTAACATGTAATTTTTATGGTGACTCTGTAACAATGATATTCTGTGTTTCATGGTCTGTGTTGCTGATTCAGTTTCCAGTCAAAAAGTTCTTCTAACTGGCAACTCTACAAACTATACATGGGTTTTGAAAATTCAGCTGTGCTTTTTCTATGTCTTTCCTATTCATCATTCACAAAACTTCCACAATCATAATTCTAAGTGCTCTCTTGATGATGAGTGAGGCAGGCTCCCTCTTCCATAGCTTTATTGGTTCTGCAGAAGTAAAAACTTGTTTGGGTCAGGAAAGCCAGCAGATATGACACAGATCAAGGGCCAAATACTTTGGGTAAGAAGGAGCCTCGTTTATACTAAAACATTTTGGACCAAAACTGCACATTTGTACTGTATTCTCTTCTACCTCTGTAAACATGGATTAAAACTTACACTGATGTAATTCGGCCCCAAGACTCTGAAATGTGGTACTGATTAGAGCAGATGATCATTATTGCTATAATACTCAGTTTGTTTTCCTCCAGTGTTTTTATCATTTCAGAACAGACCTTCCTCTTTCCCCACCTCTGCCAACTGGTGACCTCAAACAGTCTTTAATTTCTACTGAAGCAACTTCAAGGTTTTAAGATCTTTTCTTGTATCTGGAAAATTAGTAGGTCAGAAAATGTCTCTGAGGTGAAATGGATGAACTGATTTGATCTGATATTGTGGATTAAGAAAATTTTGTTCAAAATAAAAATTTGAAGATTAAGCATGTGTAGGCTTTGTGTGTGTTTTTGTTTGTTTGACTAAGAGTAATAACTTATAACAGTTCTTGTGATTGTCCCCACATTAGCCACTCATCAGCCACTGGGAGTACTAGACCTTACTTGAGTCTTTTATATGTTTCTGGTTGTTTTTACAATCCTAATCCACCCTCTTCCCCCATCAAAAAACAATGCATTTTAGAAAATCTTTGCTTCAAACTGTAACTGTAAACGATTCAAATAATCGTCACCAGAAGATAACATCAAGATCGCTTATTTGCTTGATTTTGGAATAACTGAATGGGGACTGGACCATATTTTCCTCTCTGTCTCCGTGTGTATATGTATGTGTGTGCTCATGCATGTGCAGCATGTGGCGCAATGGAACACAAGAACGGCCATACTGGGTCAGACCAAAGGTCATCTAACCCACTATCCTGTCTTCTGACAGTGGCCAGTGCCAGGTACCCCAGAGGCAATGAACAGAACAGGTAATCATCAAGTGATCCATTCCCTGTTGCCCCATTCCCAGCTTCTGGCAAACTGGCTAGGGACATCATTATCCTGATTGGAGTTTGGGGGCATTCTCACAAATTTAGGTATTGAGCTTTGTAGAAAGAGTCGTGGATCTGCAAAACTGGATACAGACAACAGTGTTTTTCTTTCCCAATATTGGACTTTAAAAAAAAAAAAAAAATGAACCTATGGATTTGATTGTCAATTGCTAGTTTTCACAGTACCTTCCCTCCTGTTCAGCTGTTACTCAGAAGAGTAATCATATTGATCCTTGGAGAATACTTGCAAAGTTAGATCCTAATCATGCAAATCTTTGTAGAGCTCAGCCCCCCTTCCTATTGAAGGACATTCAGCAGGCCTCAGCCCTAAGTGAGCCAGATCTTGCTCTCACTGAAGTTATTAATAAAATTCCTGTTGATTTAAATGGAAGCAGAATTGGGTCCTTGTACTGATACTTGCTTGTTCTTTTGTTTCCACTATTTATTTAGGTTTATGTACAACAATAACAAAGTGCCAGTATGATACTGTAGGCACTTTGAGAAAATCTGCCAGAATGCAGTCAATACAGCTGAGAGAGCTAGCAACAGCACTTCATCCATATTCCACGAAGCAATAAAAAGATGTATTTCTAACTTCTGATTTTTGGAACCTTTTTTTCCAAACATTAATCAAGTTTAAGTAGCCCCAAACACTCCAGTAATGCCCCCGAACACTCCACCCTTCAATAATGTTAGTGCAGTGTTTGGGGCCATTGCTGCATTTTTGTTTGTTTGTTTTTGAAGGGTGGCATTTTATAAGTAAGCATCCATATGGTCACAAGATACTTCTCGATACCAAAGACAAATCCCCTGTCTCAAAGAGCTTACAATCCAAGTTCAGACAAGACACAAGCAAGAACTGTAGACAAAAGGCACAATATGGGAGAGGTAGGACAATCACTAGTTATCTGACCTTGCTTCTACTTTATGACTTGTTGATCAAGGAGGGTGTGTTCCACCATTAGTTGTTTTAGTGACTGTGCATCATTCTGTCTCCCTGGCTGAAGAACTAATTTAAATCTGCCTGCAGAGTCACCTCCCTCTTTGTGTATTGAATCCTATTGTTGGCTGGTACTTTCTCTGCTGTGAAAGAGATGAATGCCTGCTAGGAGAGCAGAGCAGGGTGAGGTGATTGTGCAATGTTCTGCAGCACCAGGGCTAATGATTTTATAAACTCTTCAGAGCTGTGCTCAGTTGAGCTGGGGAGTTTCTATTTAAAATAGTAAGAAATAAAATATTTACACACAATCTAAACCTAGTTCCTAGGGGAACCAACATCCCAGCACAAAAAACAGCTGGCTATCTTCCTCAGCACAGAGGCCAAGGACCAAATGGCTGCTGGAGGATGAAAGTTCCTCTCATCTCTAGAGAAGATGTCTCCATAACTGCTTGCTCTCCCAGCTTTTGCAAACCTGACCTGGTTAATTTCAATTTAGATTGCCAAGAAACACCCATCATTTCCATCCATCCACCCACCCTACACAAACAACACAGCTATAGCTCAGTTAAAAATACTCATTGACGTAAAATTTGACAGGGATTATTTCTAATGATGTTTTTTTTTCACTATGCCTGAGGCCTGGTTCCTGAGAATTTGTCTGTAAACCTTGGCTTAGAAGCATCTTCCACCCTTATGCATACCAAGGACAGAGGGAGTTTGTAAGCAGCTTCAGTGGCTCATTCAACTCCCAGATCGTGGCTGCTCTGGTCTCCAGGTCGGAATCCCAGCTTGCCATCCTCCACGTCTGGCTGTCCCGCTTCTTGGCTGCAAGATGAGCTCCAAAACCATCTCCCTGACCCCTAAATGCCTGGCTCGAAAGAACAGTGCAGAGAACATGCACTCAAACCCAATTAATGTCCCCTTGTGGGGAAAACTGGAGAACAAGAAGCAGTTGTAGGCAGAGACAGAAAACAAAGTGTCAGGGCCTGGATGAAAAAAAAATGGTAGGGATGCTGAATTTCAATGGTATCGTGAAAAAGATGGCAAATTCCCTGGCTGTTTAATTGCAGAGTCCATGGAGCCCTGACTAAGATGAATCATGCAGTTTACACTTCTTGATGCTATTGTTTCAGGCCCCCTGCAAACTCAGGAGACCATCGCTGTATCAGTTACTCTCTGCTCACATTTCCAAGGTTCATGCTGCAACCACAAAGGAGAATACATAATTTTTTAAATAAAATGAAGATTGTGCAATACGGTTCTGCAGCAAGTGGTGAACTTCATGACAAATTCCATGGGCACTGAATACACTGGGCCTGCCTCTAAGGAAATAGCAGCAAATGGTGTGAGAGGCCTGCCAAGGGGTGCTATTCTCCATCTGTTGTATTCTGGTGAATTGTAAGCAATTTTATCTGTCTTTTCAACTCACCCATTTAAGAAAATAACCTAAAACTCACCAGCATGTGCAACCCCTGAGTTGGGAGCTGGTATCTGCCTGCCCCTCTGGCTCACTGGAGTTGGCCTGGGATGACTTTCCAGCTGTGGGCAACTGTAGCCTGATTTCTCCAGGGCAGGGCTGAGGTGCACTGGGCTAAGCTTGTCCCTAGTGTAACTCAGTTGATTGGGGCCACTAACAGCAGGCAATATAGGTAGAAGCAGCTTGCCTGGGCATTGCTTGCATCACACCAGTCCTGCTGGTAAATTTCAGATTCCAAGTACAAGAGTGGCAAGCGAAAAATCTTCACAAATCTGAAATGTACTTCAAAATGGGGATAAGCATATAAAACACATGTTAAAGAGCAGCTCACCAGTAAGAGTAATCCATGCATCACTCGCTGCTGTTTGAGATGCCACCTTCTTTTTCTACCACCCCACAGAGCTTTGTGCTTCTTTCTATTTTACATCCCTCAGCAACGCTCTCTGCTCCCTCTCCATTATCCTCTGCCTGGTTTCCTCCCTGCCACTTCAGAACTTAAGAACACTTAGTTCATACTTCTGCCTTTACATGTTCAAAGACAGTAACTAATTAACCCTCACAGCCCCCTCATGTGCGGAGTAGGTGTTATCCTGCTTTTCAGCTGGGGAAACCGAGGCACGGAGCAATCAAATGACTTGTCCAAGGCACACAGCAAAACAGTGCAGTGCCAGGATCTGAGGTCAGCAGCGTCTGGTTCCCAACCATGATTGCCTTGGACTCCCCTGACTTATGGTTTAGGAGATCTCTGAATTAGTTTGACTGTCTGGCTCAGATAATGTGATTATAGAGGATTTAGACCCGAGGGGTTCTCTAGTTCAAGTCCAGCTCATGTTGGTGGTAACTGAAAAATGTTATCACCTGAGGGATGACTGCTGGCCTGTGTGAAGTCATTTTGAGTCTCTGTCATGTTCCAAACGGGCGTCACAGAAGACATCACTAAGCGGCCTGTTGTTGGCAGGCTCAGTAGAAGGGCCAAAGACTGCATGGGCCTTGGAGACTGAACCTGAGAGGGGAATGAGGGGCTGCTGCTTGTGCTGCTCCTGTTCTGTGGATACAGAGATTTGTTCTCAGTTCAGCTCCTTTTACAAGGCACCGGATTTGTTTGGAAGATATGCTAAATATACAGCCCAGCCTGAACTGGTTTAAACTGTCATTAAAGGCATTGAGACTCCATTTCCTCCAAGGTCACTGAGTGTGAGCCCCACCTTGGTTTGGCACCTTGCTCTGAAAGGGCACTGAGTGTGAACTATGTCTGACTCAACTTTTCCCAGTGCTTCGTGGTGCTGCCAGCACACAAACACTGGCAAATGGCTCTCACACTCTTAGCATCACTACCCTCAGGTCATCGGCTGGCCCCGAATGGTAGGAAAGGACCCTCAGCACAGACTGGTGAGGTCATTGTGTGCTTCCCAGAAGATCAGATTCTGTGCCAGCCTGGCACTCTTAAGCCATGTTTCTAGCTATGGAGAGGGTTATCCATGCATGCTAGCCAGGAAAGCTCTAGACACATTGGAAAGAGGGCTTTTTTAATTGCTGACTGAATCTGGATTGAGAAATGTTGAGGAACAGCTACATAACTTCTGCTTTCTGAAGCTAGGGTGCTTGCACTCCCGAAATAGTACTTTGCACTGCTGTTCTTTCCATCTGATGACACCATCTACACAAAGACAGTCTTGATGTGAGCAGGGCTAGACAACATAGTGGTTCAAACACCAGCTGCTGCCTGAGCCCTAGCTACACTGTCACTCCCACCATTGTTATCACCAAGGAAAGTGCACCAGCGACAGCAGCAGGAGGAATTTTTTGGGGGAAGGTCAGTTCAGGTTGCCCCCAATTTTTAAACTTTGGCCTACAGGGTATAAAAAGCCACTTCATGATGTCGCAACATGCTATTGCCCTCATAACATCCGAGTCACTTAAATCCTGAGGAAAAGGAACACTTTCTTAGATGGATGACATGACAGGGGGTGTAGCCCACACAGGCCCTGAAGGGGTTAATAGGGGCTTGAAGGCCCAATTCAGGTACCTGACTGCACCTG